TTGTTAAATGAATTACTGTAAGAATCCAAAGGCTGAAAAGAAAAACGTTCTATAATCTTACGTGAAGAAAGAACAGCAAAGGAAAATAGTAGTTTTAAACACTTTTAGGGATCACAAACCATTTGTGAACAGTTGAGATTAGAGGCCTAACATTTCTTGAAGGAATGCCTGTCGCCTGCTGCCTTTCATACCTGAGGTTTTGACCTAGATCGTATTATGATGTGAAATGAGTTCTAGCTGTTTTGGTCAAACCTTGAAAATACCGTATTGCGATGTGGCAATAAGTCACGCTCAGAGAATGTGTTTTGAATGACTCTCAGCTACTGACAAATCTAATTTGAGCTCAGTATGTGGAAAAACTGTTAGAGTTATTGCCATCTTGAAATGAACCAACACCAAAAGTTAATCAGCTGTATCAAGCTGTTAGTTTATCCATCCATCCATTTTCTTCCGCTTATCCGGGGTCGGGTCGCGGGGGTAGCAGCCTAAGTAGGGAGGCCCAGACTTCCCTCTCCCCAGCCACTTGGTCCAGCTTCTCCGGGGGAATCCCGAGGCGTTCCCAGGCCAGCCAAGAAACATAGTCCCTCCAGCATGTCCTGGGTCTTCTTCTGGGCCTCCTCCCGGTGGGACGTGTCCGGAACAACTCACCAGGGAGGCGTCCAGGAGGCATCCTAACCAGATGCCCGAGCCACCTCAACTGGCTCCTCTCTACGTGGAGAAGCAGCGGCTCTACTCTGAGTCCCTCCCAGATGATCGAGCTTCTCACCCTGTCTCTAAGGGAGAGCCCAGACACCCTGTGGAGAAAACTCATTTCGGCCGCTTGTATCAGAGATCTCGTTCTTTCGGTCATAACCCAAAGCTCATGACCATAGATGAGGGTGGGAACGTAGATCGATCGATAAATTGAGAGCTTCGCCTTTTGACTCAACTCTCTCTTCACCACGACAGACCTGTACAGCGCCCGCTTCACTGCAGATGCTGCACCTATCCGCCTGTCGATCTCACGCTCCATTTTTCCCTCATTCGTGAACAAGACCCCGAGATACTGTTAGTTTATGTTTCATTAAAATTGTTATGGTGTTTTCTAAGCCATTTTGACACCAGACACTTGTTTCTGTGCAGTGCCATGAGATGACTTCTGCTGTGACTTGGCTCTAATGAATATAAAACTGAATTGAATTGAAGTGAACAGGGCGGCACAGTGGCTCAGTTGGTAGAGCTGTTGCCTCTCAGTTTCGAATCCTGGCTGGGGGCCTTTCTTGGTGTAGTTTGCATGTTCTCTTTGTGCATGCGTGGGTTTTCTCCGTTACACTGGTTTCCTGCCACAGAACATGCATGTTAGGCTGAATGGTTACTGTAAATTGTCCCTAGGTGAGAGTGAGAAGGTGAATGGTTGTTTATCTCGATTGGCTCTATATGTCCCTGAGATGAACCAAAGACCTGTCCAAGGTGTCCCCTGTCTCTTGCACAATGTCAGCTGGACATGGGCACCAGTGACATCTTTGACCTGGAAAGGAAGAAGTGTGGATTGATGGATGGACACTTGAACGCATTTTCTGGTGGCAGGTTATAAATAAGTGATAACTTGTCTGAAGGTTCTAACAAATTTGTACAACTTTATATACGTACAATAAAAAAACTTGACATTTAAAAATGAAAGTCAGAAGATTTTTTGTAATGACTTAACGCTGGTGAGGCGCTCTGAGTTGGTTACCATGGAGACAAACCCACCACACTGTTGTGATGCTGATGCTTCTGTGAAAAGTGTTGAGATTTTGAAACCCATCCGTTGCGTTGCTGTTCAAAGGTTTTGGTTCAGAAACAGATTTGTTCTCGTGTTTCTGCGTCTTTTCTTTGCTATGCCTTATTGATTATTAACACACAATTCCTCTGATCGGCCTTTGCCGCTCTGTCAAAATAAATAAATTACCAAAAATAAATCCCACTGAGTCATTCATCTGTCTCCGTTTGGTAATTCCCACAGACAAAAACAAATCAACTCTGTCAAATTCTGAAATAAGCATAACCTTTTGAATAGAAAATTTACAATCCGTTTTAAAAGAACTTGATGTTTGCAAGTCATAAAATCACAGTTTATTTTTCTTTATTTTGCCCTTCAGAGCCTCTAAGTTCAGGATGTCAGTGACCGTTATGTCCAGTGTGAACAGTGAACACAGGTTAAAGCTACAGTGATCCAATGAGCCAAGTTCTGGTACCATGTCTGAACAGGACCAGAGAACCATTCATGTCAGACTGGTTTATAACAAACAGCTTCACTGAAATCTGTGCACTATACAAAATAAAAAAGAAAAGTTTGTGGAATTAAAAATAAATTGCCTTTCATCATCTTTTTGCAAGGAAGCCACTCTGAGGACACGAGAAGATTTTTCAACCCAGTTTATGACTTGCAGGGGCAGAGTTCACACACAGGCTTACACAGATGTTACATTGAAGCTCAGATCGCAAGGTCTGCCCACGGACAGTATGAAGAAGAGTCTTTTTATAATGTTTATCAGACAGAGACAAGGTCAGGACGACCTCTGCTTCCCAGCTTACAGACATAGAGGAGGCCCAGAGAGGCAGGCTCCGTGCTCCTCAGAGAGGAGCCTGCAGACAAACAAGCACACATTAGTTTAACATGTTACTGATAAACATCCATGACCTTTACATACATTTCCTTGATAAAATCAAAAATCTAATTTAGATCCAAATTAAAATCCAGTTGCTCATTCCAACTTTAATCACATCCAGTTCATTATGAAGTGGCAGTTGGCAAAAAATGTCTTTCCAAGGACGCACAAGTTTGTCGAGTTTTTTGTTTGTGTGTTTTTTCTTTTTGATTTTGCAAATACTTCTTGATATAATCAAAATCTCTAATTCAATCTTATTAAACAATATAAAAAAAACAATATTTAGATTATTTTTAGAACTGCACTGCAGGTAAGTTTTAGATCATAATGAGAACATGTCTGACTCATAAATCAGAACCATTTACTCGTGTCAAAAAAAAAAAAAGAAGCATCGCCTGTGACATCATCAGCCATGGAAATCCTTAAAGGCTTTCACTCAAGCAGGTGAGATGATCTGGAGGAAGTAACCCATGTCTCACACCTAAGTGTCTGAATAATGACAATGGCTGCTGTCATCCCCACAGAGAGCTGGACGTCTGTGCGAGAAAGTGGCCACTTCATGTGTTGCCAACTGCAAACAAATAAAGCTTTGTTTCAGTCCTGCTGCTGCACTGAAGTATGTCCCATTTACCATTTATAGACTCATCACTTCACTGCTGGGTTTGATCTAATGGTTGGCCATGTTTCCTGAAATAATCAAATGTATTTTTTGCTTTAAATTTTCTATTATACACTTAAGACTCTTTTTCTCACAGAAAGACTTCTACAATGGAATGTTTTGCAAATGTCCCAGATTTGTAATAAAAAATGAATTAAAGATACACGTGTCTGTATTTTGATGAGCTGCAGTCGCATCATCGTAGCTCAGTAGGGTACAAATTTAGCGATGAAGTGACTCTGAACTCCTTGCATCTTCTTCTCCTCAGGGGTGCAAGATGGTGTTGATTGGGTAGTGGGCTCCAATTTGCAATTCAATGAATAGTGGTTCTCACATTGCTTTGCACTTGTAGTTGTGTTACTGAGGACAGATTGTGGTGAAGTGATCAGTAAGATCTATAAACTTCTTCCACTGAGGAACATAAACAACTTTCGTCACATTCTGGTAATACTACACTAATAAATCCTATGTAAAACAGCCTTGAATAAATCTTTTAGGGGGTGTTGAGCCTAATTCAAGCCTTATATTTTCATTTGTCAAGTGCTGCGTTTATTTCAGACTCTAATGCTCACTGGATGCCTGCTGTCTACAACAGAGCAGGCATTTGGCCCCTCAGTCTCAGTTTAGCAGTATGTGCTAAACTAGATGCATGCTCCCACAATAACAGCACTGACGTCACTGGCCACCGTCCGACACGTGCTGCCTTCAAGGTCTCATTTTGAGCTCGGATTCTTGGTCTGCGAATGGACCGACATGCCCAGAGCTGGATAAACAGTAATAATTTTAGTCGACAGTTGCTTTATGAATCTGAACAATAAATAAATAAATAAAAATAACAAAAGCAAACCAATATGTATATTATTGGGTAAAAAATAAGAATGTTTAGTCATAAATATTTAGTTTGATATAGGACTTTACAGAAATAGACCTTAACATATTCTTAGCTACAATAAGATTTTATAAATTGTTGATTGGAATTAAAAAAATTGTCCTCTAAACATGAATGTCATTACCTTGTCACAAAATAGGTTTTGTTTGTCAGTCAAATATGTCTTGACTGTTTGCTGCCAATTAGGTATTCTTTTGTCAAGTTAAGTATCAACTAAATACACATTCTTACCTTCATTTAATTTTAACGTTTAACTTATTGTTTAGTTTATTTTAGCTACTGTGCTAATTTTAGCTGCAATTTTTTTTGTTGTTGTTTTCTATTGCTGCTGTTAGCTTTTGGGTATTGTTTTTCCAGTTTTAGCTATTTTGTTAATTTTACCTTTTAGCTACAAGTGAACAAATTTTAGCTTTTAGCCATTGTTAGTTCTGTTTTCAACTTCTTTTGTGCTTGTAGATTTAGCCACTTCTGTCCCAATTTTAGATTGTAGCCAATGTTTTGCATATTTTAGCTTTTAACTACAGGTGTACTTATTACTTAGGTTTAAGCTAATGTGATAATTATTTGTAAATTTTTGACATGCAGTTTCAGCTAATTTAACTATTAGCAAAGTCATTTAGCATAGCATGCTTGCAGAAAATGCAAATAATCTCCAGCTTAAACATAAAATGCTGCGGGTAAATTTTGTTTCATATTAATAATTTATATAGGAATGGCCAATGACTCAACACCTGACTCATTTTTGCAGATAAACTTTCTGTCCAGCCAAGATCGGACGTGTTTGCCTAATTTCCGGCGGTCCTTGAACGCAGCTAGCAGCGAGAGGAGCACTGATTGAAGGGAGCGAGCACGGCCATCTTAGGGCTGCCGTGGTAACCGACACTCATCTTCTTCTGGATGTTATTTCTCCTCTCAGAGAAACGCGGCGCCTGACTGACGAGGGGAGAAGACGAAGGCTGTGTTTGACTTCGCGGCGGTTAAACTCGAAGTCGGGATGCGGTTCGGAGGGGAAAAACGATTCGCATCCGCTGTCGGACTGGTCCTCGGACTATTATGCGCCGTGGAGGCAGCAGCTAAAGGTAACTAAGCTGGGATTTAGGTCCCGTGGCGTCTTCCTTGTCTGACAGGTTTGCGAACATTTTTGGGCTGGACGTTAACGGCTGTCCTGGTTCCGTCCAGAAGCTGGAGGTTAAAAATATAAGTCTTTTTGTTTTAGCTGGGGAGGGGAACCTGCTCAGGGATGAGCTGCCCGCAGCGGATGGATGTAACCCGCCGGTAGCAGCAAGTGCATCCCGCGATATTTTGTCTAGTTTTACTTAAACATCAACAAATAGATGTAAAACTCCCACAACGCTTACTACCTGCGTATTACATGTAACCTTGAATGTAAACGGGCTACTTCGGGGATAATACCAAGGTTACAAGACGAGCCCTTGCACCTATTTTTGGGGTATTTTTCTTTCAACTCGTTCACACGAAGGTTAAAAACGAGCCTCTGCAGAGTTTGTAGATTCATTTTACCTGCCTTGTGCTGGTACTCTCTGTCCTTGTCCCGTTTTTTTTTTTTTAAATGTTTGTTAAATCCCATCGCAGTTAAAACAGCTTGATGATTTTTTTGTGTGCAATAGTTTAAACTGAGTGCTTGTTTGTTTTTGTCGATTAAAGCCCTTTTTATTGGGTTTGTCAGCGCCTCGCTCGCACCAGGATGGAGTTTGCTTGGCTACGCATTGCAGATCCTCTTCACGTGTCCTTGGTTTTTGTCTGTGGATGTAAATATTCATGTGCTGTGATGCTGGAATATAAAGACATTGCATGTCTTGTATGTCTGCACCAGCTTGTGACTAAAAAGTATACATGAAGTCAAAGTGTTTCCTCTTTTGCAGCATGTCTTTATTTGCTGCAGGGCGGTCCTCCTCCCTCCTTCTCCCTTCTCAAGCCCCCCACCCCCACCCCAACTTACACACCCACCCATCCCTCCACCACTACGACTTTATAGACTTATGATTTTCCATTAAAGTCTCTCCAGTGACTCTCCAGTGTGAGCTTCCTGATCCAGGGTGTGTAAAGGCAGGTGTGTATGTTAGTCACTACTGGTCATATCAGCATGTCTGGGCAGCCACCAGTGTGTGGTGTTGTCTTTTAATGTTACACCCTTTTTAAGCCCCAGGAAGCTAAAACACAATAACCAGAAGGGATAAAGGGCACCCACAAACGTCTGCATGGGAGCTTTTAGTCAGGCTGCTTATATTCATGTATTGTTTTTCAGTTTTCGACTAGGAATGCACAGCATTAACTTTCATCTGTTTTTCATCAATCTAAAGGACAAAACTAGTAATACTTTGTTCTCTGGACGATAGGATGTGTGCGTACAAAGTGCATCTGCTGCCCTTCCAGCTGTTATCAGGAAACCTGAAAGATCAACACAACGGCTGAGGCTTATCTTTTTGTTACCAAAGGTTACCTGGCTGTTTTGTGCACCACCTCATTTGCTCGTCTGTCTCTTTTATTGGCAGCCATTTGGCTGTAAATGAGAATCAACATACTCCTGAGGGTTTTCCCCGAGTTGTTTTTGAGCGTGAGTGCTCTAGTTTAGGTATTTAGGTGTGATTGGATGCCTTCACTACAGACGCGGTGGTTTGGTATGATCTAGTTTGCTTCCATCCAGAAAATGCTGGAGTAAATCATGCCTTTAAATAGACACTTGCGGCATTTATTTTCAATACGTTATAAGGTTTCTCGTTTATTTTCCAGGTGTTGCTCATGCACTTTATTTTTTTTTTCTGTAACCACAAGCAGCTGCTGGGTGTCCCCATGTTGTCGAGTCAAACATTAGGTCTGCAGGGACGCTTGATGAGTTTCCTCTGTGCACACAGTCACACAAAGGAAGCGCTAGCTGCTGGGAAGTTTCTTGGCTCATTCATCACTGAATTAAGTTAATTCTAGTCAAACAATTTGGGTGCCGCGCTTTGTGTGGCGTTAACATATGCGCTCTCCTCACATAGCTGAGGCGTGTTCCAGACTCAGGTCAGACTCAAGCTTTTACTCCCATTACTTCATGTCTGTGCTGGAGAAGTCGAGCATTGATCAACTCATAATTACATGTCAATTATCAGTTGTAGTTGGAGCGACGTGTCAGGGGCAATCATTTTCTTTTTAAAAAATACAATCTGTTGATCAGATGTGTATTTTTACTTTATGTGACACATAATATAAAATCAGGAATGCATTTTTTAAAACATAATGCAAAACACTTAAGTGTTTTTATGAGAATTGTTTGTATTTGTTTAAATTGGCAATTTCATTTCTCACTGTGCTAAACACAAACCTTATGTTATTAGACAGTTTTGTCTCACTCTTTCCTATGAAATGTTCTGATTTCAGTATGACTAAAAAGTTGATTAGAGCATTCGTGAAATAAAGAAAAACTAATCCCACCTGGGTGGCCTTTGAAAAGAATGGACGCTCTGATTTCCTTTGTGTTGCAGAAACTATTACTTAAGATCATTTAAAGCCTTCAAGCTATCGCTGATCATCTTGCTATGTTGTGGCAATTAGAAACTATGTGAATGCACACGGTTGACAATGGCCACATTGTGTGCCTCTTCTGTGCAGCTCGAGGGGCATTTGTCATTGTCAGGGTCAGTTTTCAGACTTGTTCTTCTCTGTAAAATCAGCAGATACCTACTGAATGTTAGAAATCAACAAAATATATCATTTTGTAGTAATTGTATGTTACACGTTTGATTAGTCAGCTGGTAAAACAAATGATGTCATTTGTTGTCATTGTGCCACGCTTATTTAAAATCTTATTGCAGATCATAAAAAGGTCTCAGGACTTCTCTAAATCGACATACAAAACCCCTTAATTCTGTTTGATGACAGCTTCGAACAACTTTGATGTTCGGAGATGTTGCAAAACTGTCAACAAACAGTTTGCTGTACTAATGATAGCACTTTCTGTTAACCTGCAGAGATACATTTAGAGCGGTCAAATGTCAGCAAAGTAGTTCAAGTTCCTAATATGTTCAGTTTAGTGCATAACTGAACAATCACAAAAAGTGAAACAGCCATGCACAATCACTGAAAACACTGTGCATGTCTGCAGCTGTAGTGAAAGGTTAAAACAAGTAGAGGAAGAACACTTCAACTCAAAGCCAACCAACAGGTTTAAACTCTGAAAGTTTTTGGTTGTGAAGTGAAAGCACAAGCAACAAGCACAGCTTTACTTCCTTGTTCAAACTCTTGCTATCAAATGCTCTATATCTGTAATATAATGAAGTCATCCATCGATAAAACAATGTGTGGCAGAACAAAAAAAAATCACGTTTTGTCATGTAATTATGTTCATAATGAGGACTGGATAATATTTATTAGGGTTGTTATGGGGCGGCTGTGGCTGAGTGGTTAGAGCAGTCGCCTTCCAATGCAAGAGTTGGGGGTTCGATTCCACCAACAGTCACATGCCGAAGCGTCCCTGGGCAAGACACTGAACCCCTCATTGCCTCTGATGTCCCATCGGTGTATGAATGTGATAAAGCACTGATTATTCTTAGAGTTCTGTGTGAATGAGTAAATGAGGGCACAGGTTGTGTTGTAAAGCTCTTTGAGTATCTTGATTAGATAGAAAGGTGATATATAAGTACAGTCCATTTATGATGTTTGGAGAGAATGAGGAAATTGTGCTGAATAATAGAAGAACAACAATCAGTTATTTGTCTTGTTTACACCATATTTTACAGAAACCAGTTGTGTATAAAAATTCCAAATCCCAAATGGGGCTATAAAACAGAATATTAATTTTGATACTGCTTCTTTGCAGACTGATAAGAACCATTACTGTACATGTTCCTCTATACACTGCATAACTGTTTATTTATCCAACACTGAAGTATTGCTCCCATAAGACAACTAAATGCACTTCTCACAGTATTAATTTGTGGTATTTCTCGGAGTAAAGCTCTGTCGCAGATGGGATCTGGACTAGTCACCATATAAGATCACAACTCAAGCCCCTCAAGAATGTGTGTATGAGATAATCCCCAAGTGTTAAGATGTGGAAGCGTTTTGATTTCTTAGATTATGAAGCTGCCGGACAAAATTTGGGTCAGTGCGGACTTTCATTGGTGCCTTTTAGGAGCTGAATGGAGTCAGTGAACTGTTAAGAAAGGGTCAGTCAGTTGTGAATATTAAGTTGGCAAGATGACCGAGAAGTTGTGTCCGCCACTGGAAAGAGCACACATTCAGTTTAGCTCTTGGTCATTCAGTTCAATTTCAGTTCAGTTCAATTCAAGAAATACTTTTTATATGTCATGCTGTTTTGCATGACATATATAAAAAAGTATTTATTTTTTTAAGATATTGTAATAAACCAAACAAATACAAACAAAATGTTGCAGAAAAAGTATATTATCTTACAAAACAATGGAATTGAAGCTGGATGTTTTAAAGTATAGAGCAGTCAATGAGAGAGGTCACATTGTTTTATTCTTGAGATGAAAAAAAAAAAAAGCATAATTAAAAATCAGCTGTGCTACATTCTCCCCTGAGTCTCTGTGCTTCCAGGAGAAAGAAAACCACAGCAGAGTTCATATCATTTGGGTGTGTTCACATTAAAATTCAAGTTCCATGGGAAACAGGTAACCAGAGAGCGCATTACCTGCAGCACATCAGCTACACCCGAGTGCCTGTTGGAGCTTCTACGTCTCACTTTTGCTTATTCACTCTCACTAGTGCTTTTGTGCAGCTCACACAGAGAAGTGATTGAGTTGCGTTCAAGGCTCCAAAGCTCCCAACCCCCTCTTCAGTGGGCCGCTGCGTTCGTCCAGGGTGTGTTCGCGCTGTTGGGCGGTTGTGTCTGCGCAGAGGACAAACAAACGTTGTTGCCTGGCAGGGGAACTGAGAGGTTCTCCTGTGTGGGACAGATTCTTTGGGATTCAGGGCCCCTGATACCTCGGCTTCCTTCACGGGTCTCTGGACCTCTGAGAACAGTCTCCGCTCTGTGGTGGAAGTGGATTGCGTCAACAAGTTCAGGAGTTTGCACAGCAAGACAAACACAGAAGTGTGCCTACTGTTTCAGACC